CTGTGGGTCAGAATGGACTCCAGGCAGTGGGTGTGGTTTGGGCTTTGCTCCTGTGAAGATTGACAGGCTTGGAAACCCTGTGGGGCGGTTCCCCTCTGTCCTCTAGGGGCGCTGTGAGTCAGAATGGACTCCATGGCAGTGGGTTTTTTGTTTGTTTTTGATTTTTGCTTTAGTAACAAACAATTTTGTCCTCTTTCAGAGAAACAGCCCCCAGGAGCATCTTCCAGAGAGTTCTGGGCATCTTAAAGAAGTCCTCCCATGATATTGAACTGGCCTGCAGGGATCCTTCCCAAGCAGAGCACCTGGCTTCCAGCCTGCAGCTGATCACCGAGTGCTTCAGGTGTCTGCGGAACGCCTGCATCGAGTGCCCCGTGAACCAGGACTCCATCAGGTGGTGGTTTTGTAGTTACACAGCCCTTATGCGTGTGCACGCTGCCTCTGTCCGTAGGTCTGGCTGGGTCTGTTAGGAGTGGTTTTGGTGTCCTGGCATCATCCTTTCTCATTTCATGACCATCTTTTTCCCCTCCAGGGGAGGGGGTGGGTCCATTGCACGTCTTGGGTGGGAGCCTCATAAGCCAGGATGCAGTGGAATACCCGATGGTGGTGTTTACCAGTAGGGGTTATGTAGATTTCTTGTGCTTTCTTGTGCTTATAATGTGTTTTCAGGTATTTGGTTTGTATACTGCACAGTGGGAGGAATCCTGTTCTGATTGTTTAATTCTGCATTCTCCTTCTTGAATGCACTCGTGTTTACTTGTCACTTGTCTTAGCTATACATGTTCTGACGTTTTCATTACTTACCCCGTGTTCACATTGAACAGGGAGCCTGCTTCATCCGCTTCTGAGATGTCCTTGTTTCCCTCAGAGCATAAAGGTGCAGAGTCCACTTCAGTGATTCGACCATGTGCGTGTTTTTAACGCAGTGGAGAGGGAGCCTCAGAGTTGCCTGGTGGTGGTCTTTTTTTCCCACATTAGTCTCCCCTCAGAACTGAGTGCCTTCCCTCTTTGATTTGATGAGATCTGCTTCTTATCACACAGTTATACTTGTGGTGAAGTCAGGAGCCACACAGACGACGCTCCCCTTGACTTTCCTGGACTTGAATGTGGATAGAGCCTCCAGGCCTCCCTGTCACAGCTGTGATGTGTGGAGGTGGGCTCCAGAAGCTCTTTGCTGCCTAGACTGTCTCGTCCCGGAGGCTGTCGTATGATTGATGAATGTTTTCAGATCAAAAGGGACGGGTAGAAAGCCAGTGTTGTTTGCCTTCAGTGCTAACTGGGCCTGCCGTCCGCTTGCGTGTGAGCGAGTAGAGGCAACAGTACGCTCTGATAATAAACGTTTCATTTTGACTGTTGCCTGTGTGCTTGCTGGAAGCAGTGGCCAGCAGGACAGTTTGGGTTGTCCTTTTCCCAGGCAGGGCAGCCCCTGGTGGGGTGGGGGTGGGAAGGAAGGAGAGCCTGAGAAGCGGCATGGCTGACTTTGTGCTCAGCAAGCCTCAGTGGGGGGAGGGAGTGTTTGCAAAGCCTGTCCTGAGCACCAGCTCTGTCCCGCGGCTTTACTGGAGGTACCCTGGTGACCCCCTAGACCCCTGGCATAGTGTGTTGCCGTGTGTCCGTTTTCACAGGAGAGCTGTGACTCTGAGAGGTTAAATACCTTGCCCGAGAGCCACTCTTTAGTGCCAGAGCCTAAGAATGTTCTCTCTTTCTCCAGACATTCTGATTCTCAAATCCAAGCTTTCAAGTGGTCTGCTGCAACCACCCACCCTGAGACCCACAGTGGCCCTGTTAGCGTGTGGGTGCACCATGCGACCCGGGAAGAGTGTGCCAGGCTCTCTAGTCCCTGTTTTCTCATCCCTAGGACAGGCACAGTGCCTTCTGCGCAGGATCGATAGGAGGTTTGCAGGAAATGACGCGTGTGAAGTCCTATCAAAGGCTGGGTGTGTGGGACGCTACAAGGCTGTGCTGCCTTGGTAATGATTGGGGAGTAGAAGGTGGTGAGAGTCTTCGTGTTCTTTGAAAAGAGCTGATTCTTTCTTTATTGATTGTAAAAGTAATATATGTGCAAGGTATAAAAATCTAAACATTATGAAAAATAAATACTATGACAAATAAAATTCCCACTCTCATGAAGATAACCATTGCTAGTATCACCTGTTTCTGGCATGGTCATCAAGGCAAGGGCTGTGCTTTGTGTACTAGTAATACCTGTGCTGCAGGCAGCTTATGTCGGGCTGAAGTCAACACTTAAGGAGGCCTTAATTTTCTTCCTTGTACCGTTTAGAATTGTATGTCTGTTCACTGTTGATTTTCAAGGGGAAATTCTAGCCGCTTAGGCCATTGGCTTGGGAAAAGACATTTCTTAGTCACAAATACAATAACAATTCTAGCTGAGGACTTTGTGGCCAGTCTAAATGAAAACCAGCGTTTCCATGCCAGTCAGGATGCAGATGCCACCAGCACCCGTTAGTCTGGTACTTTAAGTTAGTAGAAAGTTCATTGGCAAGGTGCCGCATTGAGGCTAGGTCTTCTCCCATCTATTGGCTGAATGTTGTCCTCTGGGTGGACTTTGCCAAGGGTCTGTGGAGCAGGGTGTGTTAGAGCCAAGCAAACCATCTAAGCCATGGGAAACTTCAAGAAGGTATGCCAGATGTGGAAAGCAATGGGTTCTGCATGTAAATAACCCCTATTGCGGGGTTGCTGTACTTCTCTTAAAGGGACAGATAGGAAACTTCTCAGGCTTTGTGGGCCAGTGATCTTGTAAAATTTCAACGCGTGCATTGTGTAACAGTCGTAGACGATACCTGAACGAATGTGGCTGGGTTCCAATAAAACTATTTATGACCCAGAAATTTTAATTTCATAAAATTTTCACTTCCATGAAATTATATTATTCTTTTGATTTTTTTTTTCCTCAAACACTAGAAAGCTGTAAAACTGTTCTTAACTTACTAGCCATGTAGCAAGAAACCTGTCTGCCTTCTGGTAACTGTTCATGTGTAGAAGCCTGAGTGGGAGGAGAGTGGTGGGCCAGCCTCTTTGCTGGGAGGCCTTGTCGAGCCTCCTGTCTCCCACCAGTCGTATGCACAGGAGAAGGGAGAAGGAACAGTGGTTCTCTGACCCCCTGGCCCTGGGAAAGGATGAGAGGACCCTCGCCATGTGCACACTGACCCTGGCTTCTGCAAGCCCCTTCCATTAGCTCATTAACACAGGGGTCTGGGATTTCACCCATTCAGATCGGATTCCTCTCCTTCAGTGGTGAATGTCTTGATTGGTTCTGATTACCTTTAGAGAAGTAAAGAAACGTGGGGACTGTGTGAGGGGTCTGTTGCTGCTGGAACAAATTATCACAAACTTAGTAGCTTAAAACATCAAGGTTTATTATCTCACGGTTCTGGAGGGCAGAAGGCCAAAATCAGTCTCACTGAGCTGGGTGTCAGGGTCTCAACAGGGCTCACCTCCAGGAGAGTCCATTGCCTTGACTTTCCAGCTGCTAGAGGCCACCTGCTTTCCTTGGCTCACGGCCCCATCCTCTGTTTCTAAAGCCAGCAACATAGCTTCTTTCAGTCTTTCTGACTGTGCCCTCTTATAAGGACCCTTGTGATTATATTAGGTCTGCCACGGTAGTCCAGAATAACCTCCCCAGCTCAAGATCGTTCACTTAATCACGTCTGAGAAGTTCCTTTTGCCGCATAAGGTGATATATATTCATGCTTTGGAGCATTAGGACGTGCGTGTTGTTGAGAGGCTCATTATTTGGACTACCACATCCTGCCCTCTGGCTCTGAAAGATTCGCCTCTGTCCCACATGCACCGTATATTCACCCCAGCACCAGCTCAGGCTTGGAATTTTATCTAAGTCTCATTAGATCAGAAGCCCAGGCTCATCATTTGAATCATGTGAATGATACAGAGTGAGGCCCTGCATGTGATCCGTCCAGGGACAGAATTCCTCTTCATCTGTGATCTTGTGAGATGAGAAAACAAGTTACCTGCTTCCGGCATACAGTGTGGGACTGGCACAGGATACTGACTGTAGACCTTCCCCTTCCACAGGGGGGAAAGTGGGAAGGAAGAAGTAAGTAGTCACCAGTCCCAAGCAATCTCAGAATCCAGCTGGCAGACTTTGTTAGTTTTCAAGCCCTGGGAATGATCCTCTGTGGCTTTCGGCCCTACCCTCTAGGCCCTCAGCTCTGCCCACAGGGCACTCTTCCTTTTCTCGAAGGGAAGCACGCATTTGGAGCTGAGGAATTTCATGAGCATGTTGCCTGCCTGTAGGATTGGGGGAGTTTGACAGGCTTCTTTCATTTCATCCTTACTCTGTCTCTTTGAGTCCAAGGTGACAGGTTTCTAATGCTATGATATTCTCAGAAAACTTGTGGGTCTCCTATGTATGCTATGGAACTATTAGACAAGAGGGTCTTCCACAGGTCTTTTCTGGTTAATCTCATTTTTCTCCCTGGTTTAGGCTGAGATGGCTGAGGGGAATCCGTGAATCATCTGCCTAATCACTACAAAGCTCTCCATGTGACCAGTGCTCTGACCTTTTGATCCTGTGAAGCATTAGCAAAAGGTTGTTGGGCCTTGCCCATAGCAGTCCTTCCTGACAGTGAATTCCCCAGTTTTAGCATATGGATGGGCTGAAAATTGGCTCCTCTTCAATGAACAGTTCTTCCCTTTGTCAGTCTCTTTGGTCTTTTGTTTTAATGAACTGTTCTTGCTTCTGTCAGTCTCTTTCTTTTATATTTTACTATAAACAGCAAGAGGAAATTGGGCTGTACCTTTACCATTTTGCTTTAAAATCTCAGCTCAGTGTCCACTTTCATTGTTTACAAATTTTGCTTTCTTCCTAACTGTAGGACACAAGTCAGCCAAGCTTTGTTCTGCTGTATGTATAACAAGGGTCGCCTTTCCTCCAGTTTCCAACAACGTGCTTCATGTTTTCTTTTGAGCCCGCACCAGCAGAAACTTCAGTGTCCGTATTTCTACCAGCATTCTGTCCAAGGCAGTCTAGGCTTTTCCTGTCATGTTCCTCCGAGTTCTTCCTGCTTCTACCCATTGCCAACTACAAAGCCATTTCTACACGTTTTTAGGCATTCATTACATCAGCACCACATTGCTGGTTCCAGAATCTATGTTACTTTCTTCTTCCTGCTGTAACAGATCACCGTAAGTGCTTAGTGCTCGTAACAGCACACATCGATTGTTTTAGTGTCCTGGGATTCAGACATTTGAAATGAGCTGGCAGGGCTTCCTTCCTCTTGCAGGCTCTAGAACATCCTGCCCTCAGGCCTTTTTCAGTTTCTCAAGGCCGTCCACATTCCCTGACTTGTGACCCTCTTGTTGGTAGTGGCATCACTGTGACCTCTGCTTCTGTCTGTGTATCTCCTCCCTGACTGTGCCCTCCCATATCCCTCTCACGGGGACCCTGGTGATCACATTGCCATATACTCACAGGTGGGAATGTGGGCATCTCTGAGGGGCCATCACTCTGCCAGCCACAGCAGCTGTTAATCAGTAGTCTTAGCACTGTTCACTGAGTCATCAGTTTAAATGAGCGTTTAAGAGAATGAACGTCTTTGTCTTTTTTTCTTTTTTTTAACATAATACAGGAACTTGGATACAATTGGTGTTGCAGTTGAATTGATTCTTCTTTTCCGTGAACTGCAAACGGAGCAGGAATCCCTGTTGACAGGTAATACGCAGTGTCATATCTGGCTTCTTACTGAGTATCATGTCGTTGATTGACATACATGTGCTGTGTTTCCCACACTAGAAGCTTCATGGGTGAACTAGGAAAGCATCCTCACAAAAGTCAGTGAGGGCGAGTGAGTCCCTATCCTCCTTCCTTCAGTGTTCATGGATGTTATGTAACAGACCCTGTTGTAGGGTCAGCTGTGACCAAGACTGACCAAGCAGGCAGAAGTCTGCCCTCAGAGAGCTTACATTCCAGTGAGGGGAGCCAGGTACTAAGTATGTTAATAAGTTGCACGTGTATTCGGACAGAAAGGGATGTCTGCTCTGGTGGCTGTCATATGTCCTATCAGTGGCTGTTGAGTCAGGATCAAGAGGGAAACCCAGTTTCCTGATTTGAGTATCATGAAGTTTTGTTGACTTACTGGAGAGGCTGTTCCTTGCACTCTCCGGAGAGTGAAAGGGCTGCCTCTTTCTCCAGGTACAGAAACTGAAGCAGGGGGGAGATGGGCAGAGGCAGGTGTGGGAGTTCCCCACACGGTTTAACTCTTTCTCTGTGTGTCTGTTTTGAAGTCATACTCTCAAACTCTTGGGCCTTTCTTTTTGATTTTGAACTCTTCTTTGGGAAATGGTAATTCTTTTTTGAATGAATGACCTAACAATTTACACATGAAGTGTTTGCTGTGAGTTTTTTGAACAGCAGTTGTTTTCTTGAGTATTTCCAAGAAATTGATAGGGTCCAGCATTTAGTTGTAAATGTTAACTTATATATTTAAATGTATTTTTACAACTCTATTCTATAATGTAATAGAATCTTTAGTGCTCAGAATTGGAGGTTGAAAATCAGCAATTAAAGGCGTATTTTGGTCTGTTGCAGAAAGGCAGCTACTTGTTTTTTTTAATTGTGATATGAGTGAAAGTTAACAGAGCAAATTCATTTTCCATACAACAGTTCATACACATTTTGTTTCATGACATAGCAATGTCCATAATGTAATGTCCCTCTTCCTTCCTGTGGTTACCCTTTCCCTACGTCATTCTTTCCTATGCATTCCTGCCCTCTGAGCTGTCTCCCTATATATTCGGTCTCCCATGGTTGATTGTTCTAAGGAGTGTACTTACCTGGTATAAATGTTCATCTTACACGCCTGCATCTTTTGTTTGACTGGAAACCACAAGAGTGAGTTTAGTTTCAGGCCCAAAGGGTGACTAGGGGCTATGGTCTTGGGGGTTTCACTCATCTCTGTCAGACCAGTACCAAACTGAAAAACCAAACTCACTGCCATTGAATCAGTCCTGACTCATAGCAACCCCTCCTTGGGTTTCTGAGGCAGTATCACTACAGAAGTAGATTGCCCAGTCTTCCTTCTGAGGAGTGGCTGGTGGGTTTGAACCACCAGATTTCTGGTTTGCAGTCAAATGTCCTAGGCACTACGCTACCGGAACTCCCATCAGACCGGTAAGCCTGGTGTTTTTTATGATTTTGAATTTTGTTCCATATTTTTTTCCCACTCTATCCATGATCTCCTATTTTGATCCCTTTCAGGGTGGTTGACACTGGTAGCCAGGCACCATCTAGCTCTTCTGGTCTCAGGGTCTTATAGGCTGAGGTTCTCATGGTCCACTAGTCCCTTGGACTAATTATTTCCCTGTGTCTTTGGTTTTATTCACTCTTCTTTGCTCCAGATGAGGAAAGACCAGTTGTTGCGTCTTAGATGGCTGCTTGCAAATTTTTTAAGACCCCAGTTGCTACTCATCAAAGTAGAATATCGAATAGTGTTTTTGTGAAGTATGTTATGCCAGTTGAGCTTCACGTCCCCCACGACTGTGGTCCCGTGGCCATGGACCCAGTGACTCACTCATTCCTCATGGTGTTGGGCTGTGGCTAAGAAGTTGCTATCACTCTGGAAAGGCAGCTGTTTTTGAAGTCTGTGTGGAATGGTCACTTAGTAAAAAAATTCAGCATGTGCTTTGATTTGTAGTTGCTGAGAAATACTGAGGTGCTGGATAGTGGGTCCCTGGCAGAAGCTGAGAGCTGTGGTGGAGGAAGAGGGCTTCTCTCTTAATGATGGATTCCTAAACAAAGATGCAGACTGGAATCCCCGCACACACTCTGTGATGAAGCCACTCAGTGGAGCTGGCCCCTCTCTGCGTGGGTAGGGTCCCGCTCGCCTGCTCAGTCACACTGACATCAGCCCCTCGGTCCCCTGCATCATCACGTTTTCCCTCTCTGCCCCGCCATTTTCATCAGCATATGGTATGCTCTCCTGTTCATCGTTGAGAACACCTTCCCTTGACTCCATGTCCTCTCCACCTACTCTCCTTTGCTCTCAGATTTGCTACAAGTGATTTGATAGTTGATTTTTTACAAAATACGGTATATGACCCAGCCTTTCCTCAGGATATTAACATTCTCTTCGCTGCTGCAGGAAGATGATCTAATGAAAAATTTGAAAGAGCAGATTTCAAAAGGGCTTTTATGAACCAGTTTGCCATTGATGAGTGTACTCTTGTTTTGTTGGTGGCTTGGCTCTTTGTTGATGTCTACCAGTCACAGGAGGTAGTAGATCCTCACAGGCTGGTTGCACATCACGTGCTGAGAGTTGCTGACAGCTCAGGCAGGTGTGGTTGTATCAGTTTAATTTTTGACAACTTTGCTGAGGCATCATTTACATTATATACATATTAACAATCATTGACACATTTCATATAAAAGACATAAAATTCATCCACTTGAAGTGTTACAAGTTCGTGATTTTTACAGAGTTTTACAGAGTTGTGTAGAAATCATCGTAGGCCAGTGTTAGACTCTCACCTCACAAAGGAACCACGTGCCCATGTGCATTTAGTCCTGGTATCTGTCCCCAGCACCCAGTGTTTCCTTTTATGGATTGTACTTTGGTGTTTAGTCTAAAAACTCTGCTTAACCCAGAGTTACGGAGATTTTCTTCTAAAAGTTTGATAGTTTTATCTCTTTTATATAGTACAGTGATTCATCGTCTTTTCAGTTTTATGTTTGGTGTGAGGTAAGGCTCTAAGCTCATTTTTTTGCATGTGGATATACAGTTGTGCTGGTAGCATTTACTGAAGACTCCTTTCTCCATCAAGTCACTTTGGCACCATTTCTGATGATGAGTGACTGTGAAAGTGTGAGTTTACATCTGGACTCTGGTACTGTCTTCGCTCTGTGTTCCCGCCCTTCTGCAGTACCACCTTGGCTTGATGGCAGTAGCTTTATATTATGTGTTTTGAAATCAGGAAGTGGAAGTCCTACAACTTTGTTACTCTTTTTCCAAATTGTTGAAGCTGTGGTAAGTTTTGTGTTTCTATATAATTGGACTGCCTGACAGGTAAGCAGCTAGAATTTTAGTGGAAATTGTTTTGAATCTATAGATGAGTTTTGGGAGAGTTGCCATTTTAACAACATTGAGTTTTCTAATCCTCAGACATGGACTGTGTTTAGTTTTTAGATCTGTAAGTCTTTAGTTGTATCATTGGTGAGTAGATGACCTGTATTTATGGTGAGAGTTGGAACATGTTATTACTGAGGCAAGAAGGAAAATGGAAGTTAAGTGTTGCTTCTCACCCACCTTCTTGACAAAAAGAGTTAGTGAGTGAACTTACTAAGCCTTATCTAGGTTTTAACAATGACATTTGGCTCTGACAGTGACACTTGAACATTTTTGTAGCATGTTAGCTCACACCTAATATGTGTGATCTTGTAGCAGGTGTTCTGCTTCTGGTATGGTGTCCCTGCTGCCTTTCCCTATTTCTCTGAGAACCTTATTCTGGGCAGCTTCTTAGCAGGATGTCTGTGCCAGGTTTTTGTTACCACCCTTGAGGTAAGAACTGTAATTACATTGTCAAAATAGTATGTAGCGTATTATTGCAGGGAGTCATTGCCGGTGTGAGGACTGTCTCATGCTCGTCAGGTGTGTGTAAACACTAGCCCGAGCTATTTTAATTGCGTTATTGGTGTTGATTTTGGCCTTTGTTCTTTTCGGATCTGTAAAAATAATGTTGGCATTTTTGAGGAGCTTTGTAATGTTTGCAGTATTTACATAAAGATGGGTTGATAACCGGTTTGGTAAAACTGAGCTGTCGTTTGTACTCGGCTGGCGTTTTCACTTTGTTTCTGGGACGTCTTTATACACTTTTTCCTTTTCGGAATTGTGTTCTGATCCAGAGCGCTCAGTTTTTGTTGCTTGATGAATTGCCGGGTCAGTTGGCTTCCACACCTTACTGTGCTGGCTATGTGTGTGTTAAATGGAATTTCACAGGGACTGGGGGTTAACGTTCTGAAATATGCCATAGGGAGGTGTGTTTTTAATGATGGCTTGTCTGAATAAAAATGAAGTTATTTTTCTCGAAATTTATATAATTGCATTACGGAATAATTTTTAAAATCTCTAAAAAGTAGAATGAGGAAAACTCAGGCCCACTGTGTCCTCAGGCGCATGAGACAGACACTTGGGCTTTGTCGTGTCGTTTTTCAGTTTGCACGTATGGTTATGAGTGTGTATTTGCCGTGTGCTTTCCTGCTTCGGCTGAGATTATAACATGAACTTAATTCTGTTTTGAGGCTCTTGGCTTACTTTGTCTGCTTACCTTTTTAATTTCGCGTTTTGATTTTGGACAGCAGTCTTGTGACTCTTGTCTGGAAAGTCAGTTTTGCGTTGCTGTGCATTGTGAATGGACAGCTCAGACCATCCCACCCTGTCCCCTTTCTTCCTTACAGCAGCTCTGCCTTTAAGCTAGTGGAGCCAGGAGCCCTGCTCTGTGCTCAGCTAGGGATTAGGTGACAGAGTTTGAAGGGTAGGCTGAGGCGGGGGGCACCAGGGCCAGGGAAGCTCCGGTGACAAAGGCCGGGAGCTCGGGAGCTGGGTCAGCAGGGTAGCCCACTGTTCCGGGAATGCGGAGACCTAGAAACTCCGAGGGGTCTCAGTAACCCGCTTGTCCTCAGCAAGGTCTGCGTGGAGCTTCCCCATGGCAGCCCTTGAATCGGGCCGGGATCTTCTGTTTCAGCTCAGACACCCTGCTGCTGTTACCGTCCTTGGTTACTCCTCCTGCCTGCTCGGGGAGGAGAACCTGGCCAGTCCTCTTCTCCTGCTTTATGACCTCGGGCAAGTAACCTGACCTTTCAGGGCTTTGGTCCACTGGTTTGTAAAATGGGGATCAGGTTACTACCTACCTTCAGAGGTGATTGTGGGGTGAAGGAGATGGTACGGTTAGGACGCGGTGGCTGGCACATAGTGGACGTCAGGGAATGTCAGCCACCATTGGTGTTAGTACCTTTCCCATGACCTTATTCCTTCCTCTTGTTTTCCTGGTGCTGCAGTCACGTGGTGTGTGGTTCCACAGGCCTGGGGCCCTCTTCTCACTCAGGACCTTTGCATGTGTCATATTCTTCGTGTGGAGCACGGCCTGGCCTTAGTGTTAACCAGAGCGCATGCTTACAGTGTAGGGGCACCGCCATAGCGGACAGAGCTCTTGTCAGGTGGTGGGCTTTTAGTTATAGGGAATGTGTCCCGAGGAGGGGTCTGGGTTAGGGGTAGGCACTCAGTGGGAAGCAATGTCTGGTTACCACAATGTACCAAACCCAAACCAAACCCACTGCCGTTGAGTCAGCTCTGACTCGCAGGGATCTCCTGCAGTGGAAGTGCCCCAGAGGGTGTCCGGAGCTGTCAGTCTTCACGGAAGCAGACTGCTTCATCTTTCTCCCGCGG